CCACGTTATCTGCTTATTCGTTAATCTATCATTGGTCAAATGTCCAGATGGACAAGAGATGGTAAGAGTGATAATAGTCAAGATCAAGCTTTACCTCCATTTTGTGATCATATTACAACATATCAATATTGAAAAAAACATTGGTTGAACCATTCATAAGTTAGTATTGCACGGACACGAAATGAAGTGTCATTTTCCAATCTATCAGTGATAATTTATGCTATGTTGATATATTTGTTGATCGTGTCTAGCTGATAATTTTTACGTTTACAGTTTTCTTTATCCATAAAAGGAATGATATACATCATTGTTATCGTTAGGAACTTGATCATAGTAAATATTGCTATTATTGTCTATGCAAATATTATTAATACAAACATTTGTTGTTTACTACGTAGTACATTACCACGTATCTGATCGATGGGTCGGAAAACATCATGCGTTTATATGTGCCTTTTTCTATTCGTCACACCACAGCATCCTTTTTTTACTAGCTTTGATACATTTCCCTAAGGTGAGTGCTATTACGTCTAAGATTTGGAACCCTTTTGACATAAAAGTAAAAATGGTAAGTTTACTTTCGACCATGCCTTGGTTTAAGTTCTTTTTAACCATGTTAAGGGTGTGCGAAAAAGTCCCATCATTTTCAAAGACATAGGTATGAAGTGTGTTGCCACCAAACAAGAAAAGTCTGCTTTAGTTGAATGTCTTCTTCCTGACAAATTTTGGAAAATTGTTTGCATCAACTGGATCGAAATTCTGAAGGTATCTGGTTTTCATCGTCAGCATTACAGGTCTACACATTGTCAAATGAAACTTTTTGGTGTCAGAGGGGGCAGAAAAATAATCATATTGACCTCTTTTTCTGAATGACATATCGCTATGGGAAATAAAATGCTTAAGTAAAATATTAACATGATTAAGACATTGTTAACTTGGGTATAAAGTATACATTTATATGCACAGTACTGGTTAAAATATGCAGTAACATGATGTTAATTTGTATTAAACATGTTAAAACTAATTCGCTATAGTATAGTTACATGGAGAGAGAAAAATAACAAAAAAAACGAAAAAGGAAAGTACCTTATCAAATGGCAAAATAGAAAGCTCAAACACATCAAACGTATGGAAAACAACTGTCATATTGTTAGTCTTGTATGTGTTTTTAATGTTGGTTCATTTATATGTTTCGGAATTTAGTGTGACGTCTATTTTTGCTGAACTAGTATACATTTTTTTTAGGGGCCAGCTGACGCTCGCCTCCGGGTGCAGGATTTTCTCGTTGTTTTGAAGACCCATTGGTGGCCTTTGGCTATTTATGCTCTTTGGTCGAGTTGTTGTCTCTTTGACACATTTCCCGTTCCCATTCTCAATTCTAAAAATGGGATATCATGATTAAATCTACAACAAAAATTTTAATTAAATCTAACTACAATCTATTTAGTTTTTTTTTTCAAATTACAACAATTTATTTCACTAGTTTATTTGTATTTTGAAAAATATCAATCTCAAACATCTTTCTTGTTGTTAAACATACAAGTCATATTTGAAAAGATTTTAAACGTGATTTCCATCATTTTCAACAGTAACCTTATATGGTCATCTTGTATCTATTTTGAAACAAAGCAGGTTGTTTAAACCGTGTACAAGCATATGTCTGTTGCTTTTGGTATCGACGTATTAATCCGTCACGTCAGTTTAATAATTTTGGGTATCATCAGTTCATCCGCATAAATAAAGTAGTCCTATCTTTGGCAATCAAGACCAATGTTGACTTTATCTTAATCTAAAATATTTGGCATTTGCTGACTACGTTTAGGTACAAAGTACTTATATGTAACTGGTAATACACAAATGGTTGAAGATTATATTTAAAAAAAAAACTTGTCAATACAATTTCTTGTAGCTCGAGCTATTGCTGACTTATAATACCACCGCTTTAAGTATTCGGTTAACAGACATTTGATGGTAATGGATGTGAAAACACACCAAACGATATAGCGCGCTGGCATGAAGCCTGATACCAATTTTCAGAATGCTCGGATTCGTACTTCCAGAAAAAACTGCAACAAAAATTCCACATCATGGAAGGGCATTTGTGTAAGAATATATATATATACGTTTTTTTTGTTAACAGGCATTTAATAAACTATGGATGCGAAACATCATCCCTCGGTATAGTAACCGGATATCAATTTCAGGAAGCTCTGATTTCTTATTCCTAAGAACAATGCGACGAAATTTTCATGGGGTGGACGGACGCATGGACGGACAGATGTAAACAAGTATAACCCTCCTTCAGACCGGAAGTATAATAGTTAATGTTAGATTTGAAATGTTGTTCCAAATTGTTGGGTTTATTCATTTATTATTACTGAATTTTATTTCTTTATTCATAATATTTGTAGATTCTTTTTTTTAGTATTTGCACATATGTACCGTTGCGCTCATATCAATTGTCATTTTTCCCGTTTTTTATGTTTTACGACGTTACGCTTTTGACGTACGTTACGTTGTCTAGATTTCATATTCATTGCAAGTTAATTTGATTCGGAGACACATCGGTATTTGTTTAGAGAGATTATAATCGGTAAGAGATATTTATGTACATTTTTTAGAACAATATCTATTTAAAGAGGGAACTATTGTATCTTTTATTAAGAAAAGTAACATAACTTTAATATTTATATCAACTAACTTTTTAATTTACGAAGTTATTTGTGAAGCGTGAAGGAAAAGGATTCCTATTGTTTGTTTAGTTTAATGTTTTAATGTTTTAATTTATATTTACTTACGATGTATGTTAATGTGTATTTATCTTTTTATTGCAGAGAATCGGTTGTTACGATACTGATAGAATATGAATCCAAATGTAATTTGATGAATAAAGATACTTAGTTTAATCGCATACTCGACTTTTATCGACTTTTATCGATGTGATCCGAACAGTTAAGTAGCAAACACTGTAGGGTTACTTCTTGTATGATATAAAAGTGCTAAATCTTGGCGTTTTTTGATTTTGCATTTTCTAAATGTAAACAATGTAATCGTTGTTTACATCATAATACTTTTATCATAAAGGCATTTTGTATTGAATATTGATATTTTACTACTTATCGGCTGAATTTTGTAACATGAAACACATACATATTAGCCATGCATTTTTATGCTTTACTTATGTAAGCCGTATATAGGAAAACGTGTCAACTTCCACTTATGTTCTTAAACGCTAGCAGAGTATCATTCCAATTCGATGTAGAATAACGTGTGACTAACAGGAGAATAATCAGAATGCTGATATTCGGTTGAACAGATAGGAACTGCATATCAAGGGTACCATCTAAGTAACAAATGATTCTATAGTGACATGAACTAACTGATGCTGTTTTGTTTGTATAGTTCCAGTTTATAAATTATGTAATGGTTATAAAACAATGGTCACAACTATCTCGGGTAAGATAGACCTTAGGCGGGTTTGGCTGTCCTTGTTACGCCCTTTTATCTTCTATGCCTTCCAAACTTTCGGTCTGGGCCATACCTGATTATGGTTAATCAAGGAACACGCGTTGAACACATGGAAGTCATAGGGTTTTTCATAATTATTATACAGTTCAGAACTGAAGCAGACTTGTCAGGAACCCGTTATTAGTTGTTGTCTCTTTTGGTGTCTACCGTATTTGATTTTCGTTTTTTTTTTTAAATTTTACTATATACAATGTCGCTGTTTTTCACGTCGTTTGTATTGTTTCACATTTGTCATGCTTGTGTCTTTTATGGCGCACTTTTTTGCATGATTTGGTTGTTTACATGCTCGTCTTAATTTGGCCGGTGAATAGTTGTTTGGTGGCATTAATCAACATCTCCTTATTTTTACATTGTGTTTCATTACTATCTTACATTGATGTTCTTCAAAGCCAATATCGCATAGTCAGCTATAACAGGCCCCAAAATGACAAATGTAAATACTTGTATGCGCAAAAGACTAGATCAACGATTCGCGAAATTTATAATTTTAACTCAGTGAGAGTGTTGACCATAAGAGAAATAGGTTTGGCAACTCATGTGAATTGGATATAGCTTGATATCAACTCTCTCCGAATGCTCGTTTATTATCATATTGGAATTAAAGAGCTCGAGTTGATAGCAAGCAATATCCTATTCGAACTGGTTATGAAACCTATAATTCTCCAATTTCTTTATTAAAAGAATATTGATCATATTAATTTAAAAGTAATTGATTTGCAAACAATAAAATAACAAGGTAAAACTTATAATACAATTAAATATGAAAAAAATATTGTCTTTACACTTCACAGTATGTAAGTACCATCGGAAACCATCAATCCTTAACCAAATGAACACACATTTTGGTAAATAACAAGTGACCATCTAATAGTGTAAATATCCAACTGTCTTACAATGATAAAGAAACCACACTCAATTTGTTACATATTTCGTTTCGTAAGACTGTTATATAAAATACATTTTCAACAAACATTAAAATAAATGATTAATTATTATAAAGTACGTGTAATTAAATCCTGTGCATTGAAACTAAACCTAAGGTAAACTATATATGGCGACACTTTTCGTATTATCGTTTACAACAAAGAGTTGTTTATTTTCCCTGTTGTAACATAAATCCCATGAATAATTTATTCCATCCTCCTTTGTCAGTATGATTTGACGATCCTTTCCATCAGATGATATTCTGTGTATATTGTCAGACATCATTCCACCCACATAAACATTGCCCTTGTCATCTACATCGATACCCCTGGGGCGATTGAGATCAGAATGACTACAGAATATACTCTCTTGTCTGTCAGGTGTTATACGGTATACGTTACTGTCGCTGAAAGACCGTTCAGTATAGTAAATGTTGCTATCGTTGTCTATACAAAAGTCCCGTATTTCATTCTTTGTTGTTATACTACGTAGTATATTACCACTGATATCAATCTGACTAATAGTTGTGCCTCCATTAGACGTCCATATCTGACCATTACTACATGTCACAGCATAGCATCCTTTTCTTCCAGGTTTGATGCATCTCCCTATGGTAAGTGTTGTCAGATCTAAGATCTGGAATCCTTCATTGGCTGAAGAAACTATTGCCCGTTTATTGTCGATTATGGCGACGTCCCGTGATTTATGTTTCAATTTTATCTGGTGTACATCATTCCCGTCATATCCACATACATAGATGTGTAGTGAGTTATAATGTGACAATAGAAGTCTCTTTCCGGACACAAAACAACCGTTACTTATTCTAACATCTGATCCTAATACTTCTGTTAGAAACGAATAAGTTCGTTGTATTTTGCCAGACTCATCTTCCGTTGATTTTCTTGGTACTTGTACTTGTTGTAAATTGTGCTGTAATTCGGGTATATGCATTTGATTTTCTGTAAGTGAAATCTTTCCCATCGACTTAAGTACCATCGGAAGATCGTTTGTATCAAATGAATCAAATTCTATTTTGTTTTGCTTACTCAGCTCGCAAATATTGGTTTCTTCTATGTGTGTTTTATTATCCATTACTTTGATTGTCTGAAATAAAAGTACTTCGTTACTGATGCTTTCTATCGATGATAATTCGTTTATCCATGTCGCTACTGCCTCTTGTCGTCTCTGTGTTTTACGTTTCGCCTCATACATTTTTTGTTTAGTTGTGTTGTACTGTTTATTCAGTTCATCTATGGTTTCCTTTTCAATTTTATCTAGACGATTGTTCATCTGCTGTCTAGTGGAAGAAATCTGTTGGAGGATATTATCTTTTTGCCTGTCGAACAATTTTTCATCTTTAGTTTGACATATCAACACTTCATTGAACATTTTGCTCAAGTGTTTCATTCTACTCTTTAGATCAGCTAGGGCGGTTCCACAATTAACGCCTTTTGCTGCTCGATCTATAGAAATGATAGATTCGCAGTGTTTATGAGTGTCGGACAGACATAGATCACAGATGACCTTATCATGCTGAGTGCAGTACAGAACGGTCCTTTGGTCGGTATGGACATCGCAGTCTTTACTGATTTTCAGAATAGAAGAACTAAGATTACTGACTTGATGAAGGGGTATAACTTTATGTGGCGGATTAAATCTTCTGTGTACCTTTGCACACGCCTTACAAACTTCTTCTAAGCAGTTATTGCACCATGCTTCAGCCTCGTTTTCTTCGTCATCTCGTAAACATCCAGAACACAATTTTCTGTCCGTCATTCTAAGAAATAAAGAAAAGATTACTGAGTATATTTCGAATGATTTTTGTTATTCGAAAGAAAAAGTGCAAACGGGATTTCGTTTTGAATTGTTATATTATGTCTTGTTCGAGCCTTTTAATAGCTTTTTATGAGGTATGGATTTTGCTCAATGGTGAAGGCCTTACGATGAATTTAGTTGCGAACATCTACTTCATATGGTGTCTGTTGGACAGTTGTGTCATTCATACCACATTTCTATATTTTATATTGATAGATGTAGATATTGTTTTGCATGAATATACTATTTCAATTAAAACTAGCGTCTTCGATGACAATCTCGGTCCATGATTTGGAAGTAATTCTAAGTATAAAGACTGACCCCTCACGAAAAAAATGAAGTTTGTCAGACCTTTAAATTTTTGCAATCGTTGTGAACAGTATTCTTTTAGTCTGGGAAAAATAACCGATCAACATTATAATCCCTTTGCCGGCATGGTTTTCTTCTGAACAAAACAATTTAGAAATTTTATATTGAAACTTTCATAGATTATTTCATTGGGTTGAATTCAATTGGTAACGTTGTTTGGGGCTGTTGCTGATGACCAAACGAAATATATCATTATATAGTATACAGTTTTGCGTCAATTTGGCAAAAAAAGTTTTATTCAGAAAAATTGGGGAAATAACGGTCATGGTCGTAAAGTTATGTCGATTGGTCGTGCTTCTTGAAAGCTCTGAATAAAGATTTTGATCCATTATTCCTTTAATTGTGCATCATCGGATAACTTCTTACGATAATTTACAGTTCTAAATTAGATAACAAAGCATCAATGTAAAATCTAATAACAAACTGAATATTTTGTACAAATTATTTCATTGTTCAACATCATAGTAATCACATTATGTCGGACCACGATACAGTATATAGTAAATATTTGATTAGCAGGATCTTCCTGGAAGGGCGACCACATATATATCTGGTATCTTTTAAAATACTGTGATTTCACTATTATTCGTGGCATACCAATTTTCGTAGTTTTCGTGGATAAAGGTGAACAATGAATTTAAATGTTTAACTAATTTCAAATTTGATATCGGCTTGTATGTAGACTTTGGCAAAACCACGAAATCAAATATCCACGAAAATGCAAGATTTACTCAATCCACGAAAATTGGTACCCACGAAAATAAATGAATCCACAGTATAAAACATTCTTACGTTGACTTTTATTCTTTCACATATCAGTGAGAATCTCCTCCTGTGTTAATGTGTATCTTGCACTTCTTGCACCTGAAAAAAAGAGAATAAAATGTTGATCGTTAATGTAACTAGATACTAAATGTATAAAGAACAGGTGTCGCCAACCTAGATCTATGTGCATCATTACAGCCGATTTCATTGAGTGTGTAGCCAAATGTAATATCTTTGGTTAGCTTGCTTGTTAGCTGAACCGTGAAGTCATTATTAGGTCAGGTATACTACCCTCCTTTCGAAGTAGCCTAGTCGAACAGATAGATATATTGGTTATCTGCTGGACTAGTCTACTCCTAAAGGAGGGTAGTTTACCTGACCTGACCTAACAATGACTTTACGGTTCAGCTAACAGACAAGCTAAGCAAAGATATTTCTCGCTATCTTCTTTAGGTTTTAGTCCAAACTATAGACAACGAGTACATGATCATCATTTAAGAGCAATTACTCCTATCAAGAGTCTACTAACAGTTCCGGGAAAAAATAACTTAATAGAATACACTTACCTTCTGGCTATTCGAACAAAAGTATGTTTATTGTCCCCCGAGGTACCAACTATTTTCTGACGCAAAGCGTGAGAAATAGTTGCCGTCGAGGGGGACAATAAACTTGCTACTGGTAAAATAACCAGGAAATAAGTGTTTTATTATACAGAAAGAAACTAGTATATATTTCGAGACAATGCATAGATATTCCATGTGTACTATTACTCTTACAACTGTTCAAAATGCAATATTTTGGTTTACCGATAATTTTTTTAATTTGAAACGCACGACGTAAAACTTTTACGAATTTATATTCTGTATTGACGTCATAATAATTTGACTGCGCAAATAGCACAGTGGCAGTGTAAACAAGCATTCGGAAGTTTCGGAAGACGATTTAATTCAAACGATGATAAAAGTACGGGACAATTTCTCGTGAAATACAATTAAACGGTTCAAACAATATCGTAAAAATAGTAAATTTATTCGCCTATAATTTTACAAAGAAAATACATGCTGAGGTTTAATAATAAATCTTGCATTCTTGATAATTTTTCTATCTATCTTTTAAAGTTTTCAAGATAAGATGCAAGAACGTAGAAAAAAGGGTAAAAATTGTAATCAAGAGCTATAACGCCAAAAAAAGAGTCGACAGACGATTTAAGTCATGTTGAATTATTTATTGATCGTGTTTGTCAAAATCGTCATTGAAGAACAATAACTCCATTGATAAGAAGGATATTGACGATTTCTGTCTGAAATTGATTTGTCTTCCAGATATTTTTTTGCTTATCTAAGTTTCCATCTATCTATAAAGACATTAGACAAAAACGCAAAATATGAGCAACAATCATCATTCAAGGGCAGTAACTCCAATAAGGAGTTGACTAACAATTTCGGCTTTATTAGATATAAGAAGACGTGGTATGAGTGCCAATGAGTCAAATTTCCATCCAAGTCACAATTTGTAAAAAGTGAACCATTATGGGTCAAAGTACGGCCTTCAACACGGAGCCTTGGCTCACACCGAACAGCAAGCTATAAAGGGCCCCAAAAATGACTAGTGTAAAACCATTCAAACAGGAAAACCAACGGTCTAATTTATATAAAAAAACGAGAAAAGAGAAACACTTATGAACCACATCAACAAATGACCACCACTGAACAACAGGTTTCTGACTTGGGACAAGTGCAAACAAATGCAACGGGTTTAAACGTTTTAACAGGCGCCAACCTTCACCCTAACCTGAATGTAACATCACAACATAGCAAGACACACTATAAAATATCAATTGAAATGGCTTAACTCAATCAAAAGACATATTAACAACAAGTTGAAACAAGAGGCTGTCAGAGTGACAGCAAACCGGATTTTCCTGCAGAGGTCGAACCCTGACCAGTTGAGCAAGTATGGGCACTACATTTAAGCTTAAAACAGCTCTTAATTTGGATTGTGATTGAATATTTGACACAGCATAGGTTTGTGACACAAAATGAATGTGGTCAAAGAACTGAAATATTTGAAATTAAACATTTACCTATTATGGTCCAATATCCAAAATGAAAGTGCATATTAGAATCAACATATCAAAGAATCCCAAGAATTCAATTTTGATGAAATCAGACAAAAGTTTAATTTAGGATCCTTTGGACCTCAATGTGGACCAATTTGACAAAGGAGCCCACAATCCAAAATCTCTCAATACATGGTTAGATTCAGCATTTCAAAAAAACCCATAAATTCAATTTTTGTTGAATCAAACAAAGTTTAATTTTGAACCCTGATTTGGACCAACTTGAAAACTGGGCCCAAAATTCTAATATTTAAATACATGTTTAGATTCATTCTGTGCAAAGGGAAATAACTCAAACTGGATAAATAGTTCTCTAAAATAAGATATGATGCAATTTTTCAAATTATAATCAATAATATAATAACAACAACCAGTGATGACTAAGTTCTCTAAAATTAGATATGATTTAACACTCAAACATTGTTAGAACACAGCATATCAAAGAACCAAAGAATTCAATTGTTGATGAAATTAAACAAAAGTTTAATTTAGGACCCTTTGGACCTCAGTGTGGTATTATCTTATTAATAATGAAAAGAAATACAGGTTTAGATTAAGCATTTCAAAGGACCCAATATATATATTCAATTTATATTGAAATCAAACACAGTTTAATTTTGGACCCCGATTTGGACCAATTCAAAACTGGGCCCAAAATCAGATATCTAAATATATGTTTATTAATAGACAATATAAGCTTAGTTTTTAAAGGAGTTCACTTCATCAAAAAAAAATATATAGCATTCAGAAAATTAGTTTTTACAGAATAACAAACAAACTTGCCACAAAATTCTTCAAACAATTTTATACCAAAGAAAAGAAGAAAAAAATCCAAAATTTTATTGATCATTAATACAATGTCTTTTCAAAATCTATAAAACTTATCAGTAACAAGAATAATTGTAACAGGATGCTGTTACGAAGTCTCCCAAACAAAGCTCCAATAATTCGTCATTCCCATGGTCGCCTGACATTGGGCAAAGTCCAGTACAAATTGGTTTGTGATATGCATAAGTGACGCCTATGGATTGGCCCTGTATGTCATTCAAATCTTCTTGAAATGACGAACAGGAATATATATGGTTTAGATCTCGACCGTTTACAAGTTCTCAAAAAGGGGGGTGTAATCCCCAGGGGACTCGCCCTTTATTTCTCAACCGTTCACAAGTTCTTAAACAGGAGGGGGTGGGGGTGACCCCAGGGGACTCGCCTTTTATTTCATTTGATTAGTTTATTATCCCATACAAGAATATATATGGTTTCTGGGTGGGGATCTTGACCGTTTACAAGTTTTCAAAAAGAAGGGGGGGTGGGGGTTACCCCAGGGGACTTCCCCTACATTTCATTTGATTTGTTTTATTGTCCCATACAAGAATATATATGGTTTAGGGTGGGGATCTCGACCGTTTACAAGTTTTCAAAAAGAAGGGGGGTGGGGGTCACCCCCATGGACTTCTTCTATACTTCATTTGATTTGTTTTATTGTCCCATACAAGGATATATATGGTATAGGGGTGGGGATCTCGACCGTTTACAAGTTCTCAAACAGGAGGGGGTGGGGGTGATCCCAGGGGACTCGCCTTTTATTTCATTTGATTTGTTTTATTGTCCCATACAAAAATATATATGGTTTCAGGGTGGGGATCTTGACCGTTTACAAGTTTTCAAAAAGAAGGGGGGTTGGGTGAAACCGGGGACTCCCCCAATATTTCATTTAATTTGTTTTATTGTCCCATACAAGAATATATATGGTTTAGTGGAGGGGATTTCGACCGTTTACAAGATAAAAGCACATTTTCAAATTGAAGGGGGTGGGGGTAAGAATATACATGGTTTAGGGAGACTTAATTATCTACAAAATGTCTAATAATGAACAGTAAATTTCAAACTTTATATATACAGTCCTACAGATCTTATCAGGAAACAGAAAATTTTCGAATAAGTCTGTCACTCCAATGATTATCATTTGCTGAGATATTTCACAGATCTAGTTAATAATGAAAATCATACTTGCAAATCTGAAGGGTTATTTCCCTTTGAACAGAATTATGGTTTAACATAGTACTCAAACATTACATATATAATAATTAATAATGTTATTAACATCAAATTGTTTAATAATATAGCTTATAATCATCACCACTTAGGAAATCGAAAATTTCAAATAAATCTGTCACTCCAATTTTTATTGTGAGATAAGACATTTACTATAGGCTTAGTCATAATATGATAGCAAGTGAAAAATATTTAAAAATACCACTTTTGGATATTAAAAATGGCGATAACTCAAATAGGAGAAATACTAAAATCGTGAAAATTGAACTTGACCTTCATTTAGTCACAAGAAACAACATGTCTTAATTTGAAAAAAGTCATCACAGCGTGTTCATGTTATTGAAGAGACACTGTTTGGCAGCCGCCCGCCCGATCGACCGCCCGCCCGCACATCCCCAAATCAATAACCGATATTTCCTTCGAAAATCCAGTTAAAAACAAGTAAACATACACTGAACGAATAAATTTGATCTATGACACAATGTAATTACAATATTGATAAAAAGGGGGGATGTAAAACAATATCAGAAAGACGACTATAACCTTGGACAAAATGACGTTTAATAAAATAACGTACACAGGTCAATATAGTAATTTGTTGTAAGGAGTTCATGGAGTACAGAAATGATTTTTACAAAATAAATAAATTTGTTGTTCATAGTACGAGAACAGAAGTGAAAATTTATCGTCACGCTTAATACTTATCAAAGGTGGTATATCAAAAATAGTGATATGAGATATCACACAAAATATGTAAACATTGAATAACAAAAATGCATTACAAATTGTATCAACAGGTCAAATTAACACGAAAGTACGATTTGAGAGTACTCGCAGTTACTGAAAGCTAGTTCAAAGCCAAAAACAATTGATAATAAAAGATCAGAGTTCCAATGTCCCCCGCTTTGAACATATTTTATCTATT